AATGAGTTCTTGCTGACCGTGGCCAACTGGGGACCCAGCCGGAACTCCGTTCCTGTGCGTTCCTGCCCAAAAATAGCCCTGCCATACTATGACATAAAGTTGCCAGCTCCAGGGTTAGAAATACCTGGAGATTCTGGGAGCCTGGGGTGGGTGGGGTTGGGGAGGGGTGGAGTTTCAATGGGGTATAGTGCCATAGAGTCCACCTTCCAAAGAGGCCATTTTCTCCAGATGAACCAATATCTGTCACCTGGAGAGCAGTTAAGAACATAAGAGACGCCCAGGGGTCATTTCGTAGAAAAAGAGCTAGGGAGACTCATTAGCATAACTCATTAGCATATGCCACACCCCCTGACATCACCGGAAGTGTGTCCTCCCCACAGCCGGCGGCGACCTCCAGCGGGCACCAGCAGGGAGCTCCAGGCCCCGCCCTCCCGCACCTCACCCGCGGGGATGGCATCCCCCCGGGTCCCCCCCCCAAATGACCCCTGGAGACGCCAATGTTGGATCAAGCCAAAGGCCCATCCAGTCCAACACTCTGTGTCACACAGTGGCCAGAAATACCAGGTGCCATCAGGAGGTCCACTAGTGGGGAGCTGTAACAGTGGGAGAGCTCCAGCCACCACCTGGAGGTTGGCACCCCCAGTAATTTGAAAGGGATACACCAAAATACCACTTTCTTCTCACTTTTTAACTCTCTAACTGTCCTGATATAATTTAAGACTATCGCCTGACGAAAATGAAGAGATCTTTCATCAGGTGGCAGCCCTGATCAAATGATATTCATTAATCTATTAAAACGTGCACAATTAGCATTTTTATCCGGCGCTTCCTTCCAACTCTAACATTCTATGATTCTATGAGGAGCTTGGGGGAGGGCCTGCATGGCTCTCCCTTCCCTATTTTATCCACACAACAAGCCTGGCAGGTAGGTGAGGCAGAGTCATTCAGTGAGATTCACTGTGAGTGTAAAGAAGATGTGATTTTGGAAAATCCGAGATCCTAGTTAGCCACGCTTATCACAACACAAGATTAACTGCATGGATTTTAATGAACTTTCTTAATACACTTCATTTACAATCCACCAGGGCTTTTTTGGTAGAAAAAGCACAGCAGGAACTCATTAGCATAACAGGCCACACCCAACAGCAGAAATATATTAGCATATTAGGCCACACCCCCGACAGAGCAGCTCATTACCATATTATGCCACACCCACATTACCAGAAGTGTGGTCATCCAGCCACACTCACCTTTTGCTTCTTATTCTGTTGACCTTGTTTGTTGTCAAAACCCAGGACTTTTTTTGTAGCAGGAACTCCTTTGCATGTTAAGCCACACACCCCTAATGTAGCCAGTCCTAATGAGTTTCTGCTGTTGGGTTTGGCCTATTATGCTAATGAGTTCCTGCTGGGCGTGGCCAACTCGGGAGCCAGCGGGAACTCCTTTCCTGTGCGTTCCTGCCCAAAAATAGCCCTGCAATCCACCATTCCAATAGACTCGAGGGGGACTGCATAACTGAAACAATGCAACCAGGGCGGTACTAGTATCAGCAGTGCAATAAAACGTGATTGCAAAATTAGAGGGTAGCACATTTAATGTTATATACAGTTAAGCAATGTCACACATACAAACAAGGAAAGAAAACTGGATAACAGGTTTAGAGAAACAGTGCAACAGTATAAAGTGTACAACAAACAAAGCCAAGAAGCCCCCCTAAAATTCCACAGGCATTAATTATGACCCTTTCCCCTTTATATTGGGAGCCAGTGAGGATAAACTGAAGATGGGGAAAACGTTGTAAGCCACTTGGGGTCTCCACTGGGGAGAAAAGGGGAGTACAAAAATGACATACAAATAAATAAAAGGTCCTTCTCAACAATTCCACTGCACACATTCTGTGGAATGCTAGAAGATAACTGATGAGTTCATAAGCTATACCTGTATCTGTTTTCATCAAGCGATACCGTAACAATCACTTTCAAACTCATATATTTTATCTTTAGGAGATTTCTGTGCCACCTCTTCAGAGCCCTGCTCAGGGTGGCTTACAACTGAAATAATAAATTCTCAATATAAAATTGTATGTGTTACCAATATAAAAATGATCAATCTAAAAATTGTCCCTGCATGTCCCAGACAGAAAGCAGAAGAAAGATCTTCTGCTGCATGTGAGAGAAGGGGGAATGCGCTTTCTGACTAGCTCTGCACACCAGCTCTTCTTTTTTGTAAATACATGTATTCAAACAATAGTTTTAAAAACTGCGGCTAGATTACTTGGGGGCACCTTTGTAATCGCTTAAAAGGCTAATAGACAAGGGCGCAAATTCACAATCACAATGGTGCTTTTCTGTCAAGTGGTTAGATCACTGGATTAAGAAAGCCTGAATTAATTACAAGAGTTTTAATCCACTAAGTAAACTTTGTAGCCCTAATAAAAATATGTTAAGGAGCCATTAATCCCCATTACATGACTGTGATGAATTCATATCCAGAATTAGTGAGGAGAAAAGACCACGTCACTCTTTGCAGTCACACTGTCTCACCTTTTCTTTGGGACTTACTGCTGTCCTCTCCACTTTGTCCCGTTAGCAGATTAATTTCCAGCCTGTTTTGGTCTGCTGGTAACTTGCTTTTTACAGGCTTTGTGGCTTTCAGATTGGCCAGCTGATGAGTTGGGGAAACCGGGCATCTGTTAACAGTTCCAGTAACATGAAGAGAACGTGACCTTTGGACATGGAATCCTGTCGCTCAAGAGTTTCTTTCTGAAAGGCAGCAAGTAACTTTCAGGCATAAATCCACCGAATAGAAGGCAGGTCGGAATCCAGAATTTCCCTTCCAGAAACCGGGGTGGGAGGGGGGAGATGCTGCAAGAAAGGAAAATCAATTGCAAAATTCTGGCCTCCGACTTCCAAGAGGCAACGATTTCATCTGGTCTCAAAATTCATTCCTGGTGGCTACAGCTGCCTGCGTGTGCTATCCTTGGTTGTAACTGAAAAGCTAGGATCATAACCGAGGAGGCGAGTGTGGCGGTCTTTTGATCATCTCTCTTCTCCAGCCTGTCGGAATCTGTTCTCATTCGCCACTACAGTCAAGGTTCATCCAAGGTCAGATCAAATGGCAGACCCATGTGATGGGGGAGGGAAACATCCCAAACAAGCTCCCTCAATTTTTGAGAAGCTTCAAAGGATTAGGAAGCTGAATCACAGCTTTGAAGGTACAGGGTGTTACCAAACAGAGAGTTATAAAATATAGCCCCACATCACTGAAGCATCTGATAATGGCTCTCAATTTCCATGACAAATATGTGGTCTGGCCCAAACTGGGAATGTCCTTTGTCCAAAAGGGATTAACTCTGTTAGGATGGTCTAATTTGGAACACAAATAAACGGGCCAATCTAATGTAAATCCCCAGGGGGTCAAAGATTCCAGACACTCTTGGTGGTGCTCCTGCGCTAGTAAGGTAACTTGGGTAACTGTTACACACAGCAGCCATGAAATTTACATAGGAACACAGATCAAGTAAGGGGTGGGACTAGTCACCTGTAATATCTAACCACTAACCCAGAGTATAATTTCAGGACACGGAATGATGCAGTCACCTTGCTGAAGCAAAGCAGATCTGCTCTGAGCCTTCCTTGGGATGGTGCATGGCATGCATATAACAACCATTCCTTAGTTTCTCCTTAACCCCTGGTATTCAAAAGCAGATTCCCTCTTAACATGCAGGTCTCATTTCACTTTTGATCTAACCCTGGCCATGTAAGTTGATACTGCCACCACATCTTGTGGCAGTGAGTTCCATGTGTTAATGGAGTATGAGAGTACTCTGAGGCCTGAATCTACTGCTAAGCAGTTTCAATGGGTGATCTCACTGTTCTAGACTCAGACATGGCAGTTTGAGGTGAGAAAAGAATTGCCTACTTTTTTTCCAAACTTTGTATTTTTATATACTTCTGTCATGCCTTCCGTCCTAATTAATTCAGGCACTTTCATTCAGAAAAATGACAGACTGTTTAGTTTTTCATTATAGGGAAGATAAATCCTTTTCTGCACCTTCTTTCCAAGTCTGGGACTGCATCCACATGGAATCCTCCCCCCAATCTTGGCTTCCAAATCAGTTGCTTCCATAGAGAGAAGAATCACCAGGTAGTTTGGGTTGCCTCTACAAAAGCAGATGTGTTCATAGTGGAAACAGATCATCCACATGAAATTTTCCCTGTACTTGGCTGCTATTTCCTCTCCTGCCACTGGAGGGACTTAAATAAAATTGGTAATAGCTTTATAACATTATAACAAACTATTGAAAGAACATAACAGTTCCTGGGTTTCACTTTAAAGGTTTCTGTTTGTTTTCATTGCAGAGTTAAAAGGGAAAATATGCAAGCTGTAACAGAGACCATTATGATGCTATAGTATGGGGGATAGGGGGAATGGCAGCTGCAGAAGGCTAACTCAGGGAGATTGTAGAAAACCTGCCTGTATGGATGCTCCAACAGTTGACAAGAGCTACATAGAAATAGTCCCTGTGCTGAAGCCACCAGTGTTCGAGGCTGCCTGGAAGCCTTTTACAGGACAGTCAGTGTCTTCTAAAGTTGTGGGCAGAGAGGAAGAGGATTGTGAATATCAAGTAAAGATTCAAGCGTCTGCTTGCAGCCTTGGGAACTGTGCTTCTAAATGGCAGCTCATTCAAGCTTTAAGGCCGTTAACTGATGGGTGTGCCTACCTCACAAGGTCTCTTTGGGTTTCTAGGCTTGCTATGCGAGCTGTCTTGCTTCCTGTACTTGGTGAGAATGAATGATGGTGATCAAAGCCCAGCAACAAAAACCCAGTACCAGAAATGCTTACACATGAAAAGTACACAGATGATATTAAAAATAGTCTGTATAAGTGCCAAGTTCTGCAACCCAAGATGCTGATGGGGACTGGACTTGGGGCCTTCTCCATGCGTCAGGTGCTCTGCTGTTTCCCATAGCATAGGGCAAGAACCATTCAAACCATCCATGCCTTTCGCCCTCGGAGCTTTGCTACCCACCGCACCGAATTTCGTTGTGCTGGGTGGACGTGTATGTGCGTGATATATGGCAACAGGCCTCTGCGCTTGTGCAAAGGGGGCTCTCAGTTTGGCCAGCTCCTCCCCCTCCCAGCATGTAGCCGGTTGCATGATAAGCCAAAATTCAGAGGGTGTAGCGTTTTCCCAGCCTAGACTTTTTCCCCGGATCAAATGCAGCCGTGAAAGACAGAAAAGCCTTGCTAGCAAAAGAGATGTACTTTGCACGTGTTCGGAATCCCTCTTGCCACAGAAGGCTGGGTATTCCCCCCCTCCCCTTGCACACTTTCCCGTTTCCTCCATGCGCTTTCTCTGCCGGCTCACACCCCCAAAACTACAACTCCCAGAGATTTTCGCGGCTGCTGCGGCAGATGACCACTAAACCGATCTCAGACCCAAGAGAGCGACGGCAAGGAGGAGACGGGCCAATCGAGTGCGACCTATCGACTCTCTCGGCGTTCGACACGAGGAGGTGAGAAACCAAAGGTTTTCCTAGAGCGGACGATGACGTCAGGGCAGGCTACCAGGACGCTCCGGGCACACGCACGCTCGTCGGCGTCTTAACGCAGACATGCACAGCTCCCGCGAGAGGGGTGTGGCGATTGGGCACATGCGCACGGCCTCCCTTCCTTTCTCCCCCTCTCGTTGCTGCCGCCATGGCGCCTGCGGTGAGTCTCTAGCTAGGCCGGGCTGGGGAGGCGAGGCGAGGAGGGGTCGAAGCAGGCCGGCAGCGAGACGAGGCGATGGAAGGCTGAGGAGGAGGCCTAGAGGGAGGCTTCCACCCCCTCCTCAGGGACCCCGGCCCCCCTTTCCCTTGGCTTAGCCCGCTTTCCCAACTTTTAAAAGGGCCCCCGGGGCAGGGGCTGCGTGTTAATGGGAAGGGGTGTGTGTGAGAATTGCCCCGTCTAGTCTAGGAGCTCGGCCAGAGCGCTGGATTGGGCCCCATAGAACGCTTTGAGTAGGTCCGTGGCTCAGTGGCAGAGAGCACATGGCCCAGTTTCCAGCCACAGGATCAGCGGGGGCAGGGAGGGACCCCGCAGATCAACTTAAACAGATGGGCCGAAGACATAAGGCTACTTCCTCTAGGACGAGAGGACTTCATGAGGGGCCGTTTGGCTTGGCATCAGAGCACCGGTTTTGCACAGCAGCGACTCCAGGCTCTGTCTGTGGCGGCAACAATGATCATAGAAAGCTGCCTTGTACTGAGTCAGATCACTGGTCTGCCAAGATGGGTAGCTGTGTTAGTCTGTAGCAGTAGAAAAGAGGAAGAGTCCAGTCGCACCTTAAAGACTAACAAAATATGTGGCAAGGTAGGAGCTTTCGTGAGTCACTGCTCACTTCTTTGGAACTGCGCACTCCAGAAGTGAGCAGTGATTCACGAAAGCTCCTAAAAGGTAACGGTTCCCTTGCTCGAAAGCCAGTCGAATCCGACTCTAGGGTTGCGGTGCTCATCTCAGTTTCAAAGCCGAAGAGCCAGCGCTGTCCGAAGACGTTTCCGTGGTCATGTGGCCAGCATGACTAAACACCAAGGCGCACGGAACGCTGTTACCTTCCCACTTAAGTGGTACCTATTTATCTACTTGCAATTTCTTGCTTTTGAACTGCTAGGTTGGCACACTGCCTCACCTAACTCACGGAAGCTCCTACCCTGCCACATATTTTGTTGGTGTATGAAGTGCTACTGGACTTTTGCTCTTTTCTACTGGTATTGTTTGCTCTGATGGTCTTCTGAATCACCTGATCCCTGTACGTGGAAATGCTGGGGATTGAATCTGGGGAGTTTTGCATGCAGAGTGGACACTACGCTATTGAGTGGTTGCACCATCTGCCGAAGTGTCTTGAGTGTTGTTGGAGGGGAAAAGATTCAGTTGGGTAGCCATCTTGGTCTGAAGCTATAGAACAAAGTTTTGAGTTCAGTGGCACCTTGAAGACCATCAAAGTTTAATTCTGGGTATAAGCTTTCATGTGCGTGAACACTTCATCAAATGTGTGCACGTGAAAGCTTATACCCAGAATTAAACTTTATTGGCTTAATGGTGCCACTGGACTCAAACTTCGTTCTGTTGGAGGGGGGAAAAATCTCTTCTCTGTCCGAGGTTCCCTGGCAGCTGCTTGCCTGAGCAGGAAAACAGTGATGGAGTATATGGGCTGACTCAGAATAAAGTCGCGTCATGTGTGTGTGGTGCGGGGGGGGGCAGGGTTGTGGTTTAGCAGTGGATCATCTCTGTTACGTGTAAAATGGCTCGGGTTCAGTCCTCAGTATGTCCTGCGGGGGCAGGGAGGGACCCCGCAGATCAGTTTAAATAGATGGGCCGAAGACATAAGGCATCTTCCTCTAGGACGAGGACTTCATGAGGGGCCGTGGGCTTGGCATCAGAGCACCAGTTTTGCACAGCAGCGACTCCAGGCTCCGTCTGTGGCGGCAAAGAAAGCTGCCTTGTACTGAGTCAGATCACTGGTCTGTCAGGATGGGTAGCCGTGTTGGTCTGTCTGTAGCAGTAGAAAAGAGCAAAAGTCCAGTCGCACCTTAGAGACTAACAAAATATGTGGCAAGGTAGGAGCTTTCGTGAGTCACTGCAAACTTCTTCAGTGATTCACGAAAGCTCCTACCCTGCCACATATTTTGTTGGTGTATAAAGTGGAGCTGCGGTGGCTCAAGTGGTTAAGATGCTGAACTGCAGGCTGTGGAAGGTCAGTAGTTCAGTTCGAGACCCGAGTTGCTGCATGATGGAGTGAGCTCCAGTCTCCAGTTCAAGCTCCTGCCAACCTAGCAGTTCGGAAGCAAGAAATTGCAAGTAGATAAATAGGTACCACTTCGGTGGGAAGGTAACAGTGTTCCGTGCGCCTTGGTGTTTAGTCATGCCGGCCACATGACCACGGAAATGTCTTCGGACAGCGCTGGCTCTTCGGCTTTGAAACGGAGATGAGCACCGCTACCCTAGACTCAGACTCGACTGGCTTTCGAGCAAGGGAACCTTTACCTTAAAGTGCTACTGGACTTTTGCTCCTTTCTACTGGTATTGCTTGCTCTGATGGGTTTGCTCTGATGGTCTTCTGAATCACCTGATCCCTGTACGTGGAAATGCTGGAGATTGAATCTGGGAAGTTTTGCATGCAGAGTGGATACTACGCCATTGAGTGGTTGCACCACCTGCCGAAGTGTATTGAGTGTTGTTGGAGGGGGAAAGATTCAGGTGGGTAGCCATCTTGGTCTGAAGCTATAGAACAAAGTTTTGAGTTCAGTGGCACCTTGAAGACCATCAAAGTTTAATTCTGGGTATAAGCTTTCATGTGCATGCACACTTAATCAAATGTGTGCATGTGAAAGCTTATACCCAGAATTAAACTTTATTGGCTTAACGGTGCCACTGGACTCAAACTTCGTTTTGTTGGAGGGGGAAAAATCTCTTCTCTGCCTGAGGTTCCCTGGCAGCTGCTTGCCTGAGCAGGAAAACAGTGCTGGGGTATATGGGCTGACTCAGAATAAAGTTGCGTCATGTGTGTGTGTGGTGCGGGGGGGGCAGGGTTGTGGTTTAGCAATGGATCATCTCTGTTACGTGTAAGATGGCTCGGGTTCAGTCCTCAGTATGTCCAGTTAAAGACTCTACTCGGGAGCCGAGCACATGAGGTAGTTCCAAAGTAGATGTACCGATGGCGTCTGTGAGTGTAAAGTAGCTTTATATGTTAATAGGACAGACCAGCACCCAATCACATCTGTGGGAGAAATTAAAGGAATGCAACCGGGGATGCTTTCAGAGGATGGGCTGAACCAACTTTTTAGCTTCGGGTGGATCCTACTCACTGAGAATTGATCCTGGTCGTAACTGAGTTGCTCCTCCCTTCCTGTCAGCAAAGCCCCATCCCAGGTTCTGTTTCCTTGTCTGTGCCAAGATGTGACAGAGTTCTGGATATGAGCTTTTATGCACGATACTTGCAAAGTGTCTGTCGTCGTGCTGGGCAGAATTGGGTGTGTGTGTGGTTGCTTGTGGATTGAGGCGACCCCGGGAAGTGCAGTCAGTGTGCTGCATACGAAAAACGCCACCCTGCATGTAACCTGTGTGGGACCCTTCTCGTAGTACTTTGCTCTCACTGTAACCGTGGTCCCTGAATGCTGCACTTGGCTTTTTTCCCTGTAGGAGTGAGTGACAACCATTGATCTGAATGGGATGTAATTGAGTAGGAGCTCAGTCTGTGATGGATCCCAGCTTGCTCTGCTCAGTGTGCACTGCCTTCCTGCTTCATACCAGGAGCCCTGCTGCGGGGGACAGCGATACGCATTGCACCGCCATCGCCAGGATGTGACGCTACGCGTCGCTCTGGCAACGGGTCCCGTTGCCAGAGCGACGCGTAGCATCACATCCTGGCGACGGCGGTGCAATGCGTATCGCTGTCCCCCGTGGCAGGGATCCTGTAAAGACTTGCGGATCCCCCGCCACGGCTTGGCAGCCCTACTCTTTACTGACACGGAGGCGAGAGAGGGAGCTCTGTGAACTGAGAATTCCTCTGGTTCTGGTCTTACCTCTTCCACCAAATCATTAGTCACCCACGGAGACAAGCCTAGCCAGCCACTCGCTCAGCCTTGTGTGTCTCGCCTCCCCCAGCAATCTGGGGATTAAACTAATATTGACCTTCCTTACAATTGATTATAAGGGTAATTCTTATGATACATTTCGTGTGTATCCAGTCAGAAGGTGAAATATAGAAATGTTGAGCATTAATATTATGGCAGCTGTTGGATTTAGAATTCCTTATACCCCAGAGTTAGTGCCATTTTGTCTTTAATCTACTATATAGTTTATGGGAGTTTGTCCTTATATTCTGTTATGGCTGCTTATGCTGTTTTTGTTAGACACTGGAAGAAAATGACTCCTCCAACCAAAGGGGAATGGATCAGTAAAGCGAAAAGATTTATTTTGTGTGTTAAACTTAACTGCATATTGAAAATAAACTTTGTTTTCTCAGAAAAAATAACAAAAATAAACGTTGCAGGCTTTTGCATTTTGTCCAGTGATAGCCGTTAATTCAGATGGGAGAAAAGAGAAGGGGGTTCCTTGGGGACACTGGCTAACCCTGTGCTGTGACCCCAGCCCTGGAGAATTGAGCTGACTCGTAGGCCTCTAGCACTGCTTTCTGTTGGTCCTGTGTGACCAACAAACTTTGGGAACTGCTTTTCTGATTGATTTGGTGCATCTCGTGTGCTTCTTGCATCTGGGAAGCATTCTCTGCTTATCGTCAGGTTGTGAAACTGGCTTGCTGTAGCAGACCGGAGACCTTTTTGGTAAGCAATTCCGCATTCGGTTCAAAGCAATAGACGGGTCTGTTCTTTACTGTGCCCTTCGGGACAGGTTGTCCTGACCCGGATAGCCCAGGCCAGCCTGATCATGTCAGATCTCAGGAGCTAAGCAGAGTCAGCCCCGAATGGGAGACCACCGAGGAATTCCAGGGTTGCTATACAAAGGTAGGCAATGGCAAACCACCCCTGAATGTTTCTTGCCTTGAAAACCCTACGGGGTTGCCATAAGTCCTCTATGACGTGACAGCAAAAAGAAAAAAGGCAGGTGCTGTGACACCATTGCTTTTCTGGCTGGCACCTTTGTTTGTGGTGTTGCCTCCTGGAGAGCAGGCTAGGAGCACAGTGCTAGAGAAGCAAGCCAGAGTGCAGTCTTGCTCTTTGACGTACGCCACTCTGGTGGGTGGGACTCAGCCATAAGAAGGGATCAACAGGAAGGGTGGGGTGAACTAAGCTGGTAGCTGTAAGTGCAGAAAAGGTGTCCAGTAGCTCAGGAGAGGTCTGGAGGAAGAACTGAATTTGAGAGAAGACTTCATGTGTTAGGATCTGAGTGAAATGTTTCTTCCCTGCCCTTTTAGCCCAAAAGAGCCCACAAGGCAGCTTACAGTGAAAGCAGTTAAAATCCACATCATCCGCGCAGAAATCTGACAACAGTCCCATCTCGACTCAAAACAAACTGGCAGAAAGCCAAAGGAACGAGAGGAAATAAGGGACAACAGTGGCATTTCTGTGAAGAGTCCAGGTCACCTCAAACAGGCTGTGAAAAGGGGTTGTCTGAAGCTGTAAAGGGCAGGGGCAGGGTGGGTATTTTTAGGAAGAGAGTCCCATAGTCTCAGTGCTGCAACTAGGCAACACCTATCCTTTGTGGCTGCATCTTTGAGGACCATATGATGGGACCTCTGATGACCTGAGTTCGTGAGCAAGGTCGTATGGGAGTAGAGGATGCTCAAGTTCTCTTGGTCCCTTTGCTTTGAATTGAGCCCAGAAACCAACTGAGAGTCATTGCAGTTACCGTAATGTTAGTATATTAGTACATTTTGCTTATAGCAGCCCACCCCTTTCCTTAATCTGGTGGCTACAATCTAAATAATTTGTAGTGCTTTCTGAAGACAGTCATGCATACAACGTGTCGTATTCATCTCACCCGGGTGATCACCACAGTTTGTGTAACGATGGCTTGCTTCGTCTCCGAAGGACAGCTGATACCTAGCTCTCCGGGATCACGCCCAAGCTGCCCACCTTAGTCTACAGAGGGAGGGTGCAACCTATCCAGCACAGGTGGTATACCTACTTCCAAGGCCAGGTGTGTCACCCAACCAACCTCTGTCTTGTCTGAAGTAGACTTCCATCTGTTTGCCCTCACCTAGCTCCTCACTCCAGACTCTAGTCAATCTCTTCCCCTGCCTCATTTGGGAAAAGAGAGCAAGCAGACTAGATGTCACCCGCATGCCGGTGATCTCCAGTCTCCATGTAGCCTCATCCTTTTAGGAATATAAGGTGCAGAAGCAAGTAGGAGTAATGAAGAATTTGGCCTGCAGGTCAGGGATGGGGTTAGGAGAAGAGGCAGATGGAGTGAGCCGGATGAGAATGCAGCCAGATGGAATGGCTGTCAGAAGGGGTGAAGAGGCAAAGTGGAGGCTCAGAGGTATGAGACACTGTAATAATGTTGGCCGAGACAGAGAACTTGGATAGGTATCTTGAGTTATCCAGTTTCTTTCTTTCTTTCTTTCTCTCTCTCTCTCTCTCTCTCTCTCTCTCTCTCTCTCTCTCTCTCTCTCTCTCTCTCTCTCTCTCTCTCTCTCTCTCTCTCTCTCTCTCTCTCTCTCTCTCTCTCTCTCTCTCTCTCTCTCTCTCTCTCTCTCTCTCTCTCTCTCTCTCTCTCTCTCTCTCTCTCTCTCTCTCTCTCTCTCTCTCTCTCTCTCTCTCTCTCTCTCTCTCTCTCTCTCTCTCTCTCTCTCTCTCTCTCCCTCTCTCTCTCTCTCTCTTTCTTTCTAGCTTTGAGGGTTGATTGGTTATTGGGGTGAGGACTTTAGCATTCTACCTTGAGCACTGTCCACTGAGAGGAAAACATAGACATTAACACACATACACCCTTGTTCTTCGGTGCCTTAATTTACTTTCGGGGGTAAGGCGTGTCACCTGTCAACATGTACTTGCTGTGATCTGAGCCCTGTGGATAAAGCTAGTCTCCAAACAAGATCAAGAAAGTTACTCTGGGATTGAGTGGTCAGCTCAGAGGCCAAGCTCCATAGACTTCCAACTGATGGGCCCTTCCTTGTGGTTTCTCACTGTGGACTGCCACTGGTTCTCTGACGGCCCTTCTCTCTTTCTCTCCCACAGAAGAAGCTTGCCACAAAGGGCGGCAAAAAGAAGAAGCAGGTCTTGACATTCACTCTGGACTGTACCCACCCAGTAGAAGATGGTATAATGGATGCGGCCAACTTTGTAAGTTCTGGGCTCTTGGGGTTTATTTTACTAGATGTAGAATTGCACACCACACTGGATTTGGAGAAGGCAGGAACTGGTGGTGGTTCAAACATCAACCCGGATTATGACTGGATTATTTGGGAGGCATCTTGAGCAGGCGAATCGCAGCTCTCGTTGTCCCAGAGTGCATGTGATGTGTTCTTTGCTTCATCGCAATGACCGGCATGCCACGGCACAGTCTGTGCAGCCGCTGCTAACTGGTCCATCGCTGATGTCTTCCTGTTGGCACTCTGGTCCTTTTGAAAAGGGCTGTCGTTTTATGGTAACCAGATCTGGAACGTGCTGAATAGTTAGGACTTTCACGCAAGAACTGTTTGGGAGGGAGCGACCTAGTTTGGAATGGGTATTTCCAGTAACACAGCGTTGCAGGTGCATTATCTGTGACGTGCTTTGCATCAAGTGTCTCCTGGGTGGGTCTTTATAGCAAAGCTTGCTTGGTGCTTTGCCGTGGCGCAGTTGCCTTGCTGTAGTGTGGACATCCTGCTTTGTGCTGGCTTGTGCATGTTGCAGTAAGCTCACTCTTAGGCTTGTGCATGTGAACCTAGGAAGCTGCCTTATACGGAGGCTGACCATCTAGCTCAGAGGTGTTGAACTCATTTGTTTTGAGAGCTGGATCTGACATAAATGTCACTTTGTTGGGCCGGGCCATGTGTGCCATGAAACGTAATGCTAGGTACCGGAGATATAAACACTATAAAGGACAGCAGCTGGTAAGCTCTGAGTTGGTGTATCCTCACTTCAAGTCCCCATGGGCTGGGAGGGGGGGGTGCCAAGGAAAACCCATATGGGCGAACTGGAGAGCCAGCTGTGCAGCAGTGGGCAGAGGCTCGCATGCTGCTTGACTGCTGCAGATGAGGTTGTTCCGCCATGCCGAAGCCACCATTGGAGTGGCTCCACCCACTTCCCCTGAGCAGTCTCCTGTTCCCTCCCTTGCATCAGTTGCTCGCGGGCCGGTTCTGGCCCCCGGGCCTTATGTTTGACACTCCTGATCTAGCTCCTTAGTGTCTACCTTGACCAGCAACAGATCTGTGCAGTTTTGTATAGAGAGAAGTTTCTTCCTTCACCCCCCCCCCCTGCGGATATCACCAGTAGTCAGGGAGCTGCAGTAGGGCTTTTGCTTACAGGTGGTTCGGGTGGGATGGTGCATTCAGCGATCACATGGCACAACCATGCTGGGCCTGTGCCCCTTCAGAACGGAAGGATGTTTTGTGGGATTGCTTAACATGTAATAAGCTACAAATATTCTGGTGGCACTGGGGAGTTGGGAGATGTATGTATGTTGTGGCATGCCGGGACCCATTTTGTCAGAGGTCCAGAGTGTTTGTAGGCGCGAGTCCATGAAAGCTTGCCTAAGTCTTTCAGCTGCTGCTAGCCTCTTGGTTGTGTTTGCTTCCAGATGGAATAATACGCTACCGCTCTGGAAACGAGTTAATACCGAAAACTAGGATGTTAACAAGGCTAAACTAGTTTCAGAGGGCAGCTGTGTTGTTGGTCTGCAGTAGAAGATCTAGTTTTGAGTCCGGGAGCACCTTAGAGACCATGGAAATCTAATGGGTCCCTAAGGTTCTACTGGTCTTGAATCTAGCTCAAGGCTAAGCTGTTTTGGTGTAGGGGTTAAGTGCGTGGACTCTGATCTTGGAGAACTGGGTTTGATTCCCCACTCCTCCACTTGCAGCTGCTGGATGACCTTGGGCAAACCATAGTTCTGTCAGAGCTGTTCTCTCAAGGACAGTTCTGGGAAGAACTCTCTCAGCCCCACCTACCTCACAGGGTGTCTGTTGTGGGGAGGGGAAGGGAAAGGAGTTTGTAAGCTGCTCTGAGACTCTGAGTGAAGGGCGGGGTAGAAATCCAATCTCCTCTTCTTCTAGATCTTCTCTCTCTGTTCAGTATTTTTTTTTTTTGTCTGGGAAGAAAGTTTGGGTGTCAGTCGGTTTAAAAACTTGCAACCTTGCTGGTTGCATCAAATTACACTTTTCTCAGGAACAGGCTGACAGGTATTTTTAGCAGGAAACTGAAAGTTTTCAAAGAAACCGCATTGTGACTTGAGCAGGGAAAGTTCCTTCCCCTTCCTTTCCTTGTGGAAATATTTGCGGTTAGACCAGTTATTGCAGGGGCACATTAGTATGCTATGGGAGCCCCCCTAGAGTGTTAGGAGAAATTCATTTACTTTCCGTGAACACAACGTATTTATATGTAGAGGAGGCTGCCCGCTGCATCTCTGCATGATTACTCGTTCTAGTCAGGCCTCTTTCCAGTCAGCTCCTGCTGGGGGCAGGGAGAAGTGTTTGGCTCATTCAGCATGTCTCTTAGAATCACTAGACTCACAGGGGTTGGGCTTCTCTTTAGACTGTAAGAGTGGGATGTGTCTAGGTTGCCAGACTGTTAAATGTTTATTTATTTGGATTTGGATTCCACCCTCCCCACGAGCGGGCTATGAGCTGAACACATTATAAATAGATAAAAACATACAAATAGATAAAAACATATGATGTTAAATGCCAGGTTGATAAATGTTGCTAGATCAGTGATTCTCAGTGGCTCGGGAGCCACACCCACCATTGGTGGCTTTTCTGAGCATTGCTCCCTAGTGTACCACCTGCCCCGTGTTTCAGCAAGGGGGGCAGGGCTCTTGGCTGGTGGGGGTCGTGGTTGGTAGGTGGCTCTCACCTTGAAACAGCTGCCATCGGATGACCGGGTAAGCCGCAAGCCTCACTGAAGTGCAGACCTCACGCCAGGGATGGAAGTCAATGAGGCTCTTTTGGCTGGCAGTAGTCGCAGATGTGGCTGTCCACGAGCTGTGGAGTGAATACCACTGTCTTAGATAATTCCAGTGAGAGCAGCAAATTAATGTACACCAGTATCTCATCTTTGCAACACCCATATGTGACTAACCACAGGCTGCAAGAGAAGTGCTGCTAAAAAGCAGGAGACGCCGTGTGTGATGTGGGGACACCAAGTCAGCCTTGCCTTGAAATATTTATTTGCATAAAATATGCTGCAGACCAGGAGCCAGCACCTGCCTTCAGCACCGCAGGCCATTAGTGAACTTCTGCCAGGAAGCCCCCCTCAAAGAAAAAAAAATTAACATTTTAGCTTATTCCACATTAGGCCTAGAACCGCACAATGTTTTATGGTAGCCCGAGAAGAACGCACAGGTTGTGGTGGTAAGCTTTCACAGGCTGCAGTGCAAGTCCCCAAGATGCGCGAAGTGACGGTAACACAAGTACCGGTGGAAGAAGGGTGTGGCAGGACGTCGGCTAGCTCTCTCTAAGCTGAGTTAGTGAGAGCCAGCTCACAGTTTTTTAGCCTCCAGCTCAGACATTTTTGTCTTTGCTCAGGAAGGGATGGCTCCAGAGCTAACTAATTGATGCAGTAGCCAGATCGCTGGCTCACAACTTTAATGGCAGTAGCTCACAAAGTAGGATTTTTGCTCACAAGACTCCACAGCTTAGAGGGAGCATTGCGAGCGACCCGGAAGATGGCGATTGAGCTCCAGTGCAGAACACATGGAAACTCTGGGCTTTGGTTCCGTCAAGGACTGCAAGTGTTATTCAGTTGTTTAATTCATTAAAGCTGTGATGAAACCTTGACGGGGAGGGACCGCCTTAAAGCCCCCCCCCCCCCAATTTGTTTGCTGAGGCTATTTTGGTTCCAGTGCTTTATGTGATGGAGGCTGTAAAGGGATAGAGTGGCAGAGAAGGATCCTGGGAGACCAGGGCTTGAGGACCACTTTGGCCATGGAAGCCTGCTGGGGGACCTTGTGCCTGTTGCAGAGTTAGGCCCGTCTCAGCCTGGCCTAATTTACGGGGTGGTTGTTATGTTTGAATGGGGAAGGGGAGAATGATGTTCTGAGCTGCTCTGAGTCCTGACTGGGGGGGAGAGCGGGAGGTAAATGAGTAAAGGTATTGTAAAATAAAAACGGAAAACGCTTTTTTCCTTCTGACGATGAGTGCGTGTCTTAAGTTGCAAGTTCTTTTGCGCTTCTTTTAGTACCTCAAACAACGCAACTCTTCTGACATTTTGCTAGCGTGCAGATCTGCTTGCATCAAATCGGTTAATCAGGGAGAGGGTCCATTCTTGGAACGTCCTTACCCGTGATGCAAAGTAGGCCTTTGCTTATCCTGTCCTTGATAGATACGCGGGGAAACAGCTCTTCCTTCTGTGGCTGCCTCTTTTTATTAACGTCGGTGCGTCTGTATGGAAACAGCCCCCGGTGCCCGTCCGTCGGTGTTCCTCACCTGGCCTGAACCACCTGTCTCCACCCCCTTGCAGGAGCAGTTCCTCCAGGAGCGGATCAAAGTGAATGGGAAAGCTGGCAACCTGGGTGGGGGCGTGGTGACCATTGAGAGAAGCAAAAGCAAGATCACTGTCACCTCGGAGGTCCCTTTTTCCAAGAGGTAAGGAGCCAGAAATGGTTAAAAGATGAGGCGGCGGCTTTGCCACAGGCAAGGGAGTGTTAGAATCTGGGGCACTAAAAGCCTTACCTCTCCTGAGAGCCAGTTTGGTGTAGTGGTTAGTAGAGATTTGAAGGCCCAGAAAAAAACCGGAAAAATTCGGGGGGAAAACCCCATTTTTTCCCGTTTTTCCCCTGAAGCCTTTTTGTTTTTTTCCGAAAAATTGGAAAAATTGAAAAAAGAAAAGAAAAAAAAATGATTATGGAACGTTTTATTTTAACATGATGAATAAAATATTTTAAGACAAGGTGTTCAAATATTATCCAAATCATTTCTAATATATATATATATATATGGTATCAGATTGATCTAATTTCTGTGCATTGAGGACAAGCAAGTCCTAGGTTACAAACTGAACTCTTCAATGCAAGAACAAGATTCATTTCTTCCTTTAGGAGGTGCGATTGTCAGAAGAAAATTA